ACCACAACTACATGAAATTTTCACTTGACCGACTTGGGCCATTTGGAGCAGCCTAATTGAATTAGGGTTGGTCATGGCCCAACCCAAATTTGGATGGCTCCTACAAGATGCTAGCCCACTACTTATCCTCTTATTGGGCCCTAGCTATTCTCTAACCTAAAGCCCACTTGTTCCTATTATATACCACCGTCCATTACTATTCTAAGTATGAGATTTATTTGATAGTCGTTTCCAAGACCTAGAAAAGGAAAGCTCTCTCTGCTCTTTGTGACTACACGTTGGTTTCGTGTCTTGCCTGTGAGAGTTCCTTCTTCTTCTAGTTAGCCTTAGTGGTTAACTTCATTGGCTACATTCTTCTTATCCCCTAGCCTTTGTGGGTTATCTATTAGTTGGAGCAACCATTTGGAAGTGTGGCTCTGTATGGATTGTTCCTTTTAGTTGGTTGTGGTGTCGATTAGAGACTGGGCCCGGTATTCCTTAGTGCAACAAAGAGTATTCTTCCTCACACAAAGCAAAAGATTAAATTATATCTATTGCAGTAAAATTGTAAGATCATTTATATAAGAAGCACATAAATCATTATAAATACAATTAATGAAGAAGTAAACATGAAAACAATATGGTCATTATTGGAATGCATCCCTAAGTTAAGCGCTAAATTCAATTATAGACAACAATCAAAATTGTAACCCCTCTCGGTGTGGGTGTGTTTGGTTGTGTGTGTGTGTGTGTGTGTGTGCGAGCGCGCGTGTGAGTGAGAGAGAGAGAGAGAGAGAGAAAGAGAGGGCGAAAACCTCTGGAGCATGTGCAGAGGGCTTATGAGAGGTGAGTTTCCAAAAACTCATCCCACCAAATCGATTTGCCGCTTGTTTCACTGATTCGAACGGCGTCGAGGTGTCAATCTCAGCCCTCGATCTCCCATTCTCCTCCGAACCCGACTCACGGAAATAACCCACTGTCGGACACCCATCAATCAAGCCCCCTGCATTGGCTTATAGGGTTTTTACAGCCATTGCTAGAGAACTCATGTGAAATGCGTTCGATTTTAAGAACAGCATTTTGGATGGAAAAAATTCCAATTCAGAGCCACGCGTTTACTTGTACTTGCTAAGAGAAATAACAAATCGACAAAATTTGAAGCAGCCCCGGAAAAGAGAACAGATTTCCCACAATTTGTAGTCAATTCTCCATAGTCAGGTCTAGAAAGAAATAGAAATAACAAAGCTACTGAATGACTAAAAGAGAAAAACGAACACGAAACGACGTCGTTTAAAAACCCACTCATCTCCTAAGCAGCTCAGCTAACTCGGCTCAATCCAAAATGGTCGAGCCGACCAAAAATTTGGCTTGTGAATAGTAACACACAACTGACTCTTTTATATTTAGTTAGAAAAGCACTTTTTAATTATTCTGTAAAACAATTAATTAACCTAATACTCTGCAATAAGTTTCGCACACAATTGATAGGAATGAACGATGATCAAGTGAGTAATATTTATGAAACTTACGAAATACGTGATTAAAAAATAATTTGATCATTTATAAA